GCGAAGTCACGACAAGCCGCCTGTTCCATGTGTTAGGAGTAGATAACTCTTTGGCACATTGTTGCCTCGGTGCTCCCGCGTTCGCGCGCTTAGTGAAGAAGGAGCAATTAGAGGAACATATCTTTGTAGCCTATGTTAGGCCTGTTACTGAGCCTAAGGAAGAGAAACCCATTGATCCGGCTATTGCCAAGCTGCTGGAGGAGTTTACAGACTTAGCTAAGCCGCCTACTGGAGTAGTGCAGTGGCCCATCCAACATCGTATTGAGATAGAGCCTGGCAGTAGGACTCCTAAAGGAGCCATCTACAGAATGTCCCCGAGGGAGTTAGAGGAGCTGCGCAAGCAGTTAGATGAGCTCCTCGAAAAGGGTTGGATTATGCTCAGTTCATCTCCTTTTGGAGCACCTGTTTTGTTCGTCCCCAAGAAGGAGAGAGAGTTGAGAATGTGTATTGACCATAGGGGTCTTAACGCCATCACAGTGAAGAATGCAGAACCATTGCCCCATATAGATGATTTGTTAGATCGGGTGCAGGGCTGCAAATATTTCTCTAAGATAGACTTGAAGTCAGGCTATCATCAGATAGAGCTCCATCCTGATGATCACCACAAGATGGCGTTCAGGACCAGATATGAGCACTACGAGTTTATAGTGATGCCCTTTGGACTAACCAATGCGCCAGCCACCTTTCAGCGCTGCATGAACGATTTGTTTAGGCCATGGTTAGACAGATTTGTGGTAGTATACCTAGATGATATTTTAGTTCTTAGTAAGACCCTCGAGGAGCATGAGGGCCATCTTCGGCAGGTCTTGGAAAAGCTAAGGGAAGCTAACTTCAAGATTAACACGAAGAAGTGCGAGTGGGCCAAGATGCAAGTTCTGTACTTGGGCCACATCTTAGAGATGGTATAAAACCTGAGGACAGTAAGATACCAGCGATTAGAGATTGACCAACTCCCCGCACGTTGACAGAGTTGCGGCCGTTCCTAGGGTTGGCAAATTACTACAGAAAGTTCGTCAGAAACTTTTCCACTATCGCTGCTCCCCTCCGCAGGTTGCTAAAGAAAGAGGCAATTTGGAAGTGGGACAAAGACTACAGCCCTAAAGAAGTTACTACCCAGTCCTGAAGGTAGTCGATCCGTCTTTGCCTTTTGTTGTTACTACTAACGCAAGTCAATATGGCATAGGTGTTGTCTTACAGCAAGACGATGGCAATGACTATAGACCCGTGGAGTTCATGTCTGCTAGGATGCCTTCAGAGAAGGTTGCGACATCTATCTACGAGAGGGAACTCTACGCTCTCAGCCAAACTTTAGACCACTGGAAGCATTATCAGCTTGGGAGGCACTTCAAAGTGTATTCAGACCACGGGACATTGAGGTGGATGAAGACGCAAGCCAAAATGACACCTAAGCTTACTAGCTGGGCAACAGAGATAGATCAGTTTGACTTTGAGCTCAAGCCAATAAAAGTGAAGTATAATGTAGTTGCGGATGCTCTAAGCAAAAGAGCAGATTACTTTGGAGGGATAGTTCACTATGTGGATATAGGGAGAGACCTGCAACAGAAAGTCAAAGAGGCATATGCACAGGACCCTATTTATAGTGATCTCCTCAAGAGAGTCAAGGAGTCTCCAGAGTCTGAGCCAGACTACCGCCCTACAGATGGGCTACTATTTGAGAAGACTAACGGAGATGACCGATTGTGCGTTCCTGATAGTGAAGAGATCCGTAGTTTGATCTTAGGGGAATGTCACGACACCGAGGGACATTTTGGTTGGCAGAAGACATTGGCCAACCTCATACGCACGTATACATGGCCAACCTCATACGCACGTATACATGGCCAGGTATGAAGGCCGACTGCATAGAGTACGTACGTAGTTGCAAAGTCTGCCAACGGAATAAGACCACTACATGGGCCCCTCTTGGTCTTCTCAGACCCTTGCCTATTCCCACAAGACCTAAAGATTATGTGTCCATTGACTTTATGGATGTCAGGGTCAAGAGTAGGCATGGCAAGAGCCAAGTCATGGTTATAGTTGACTGATTTAGTAAATATGCAGTCTTTGTTCCCTTACCCGAAGAGGCACGGACAAATTTAGCTATAGACAAGTTCTTTGATCATTGGGTCAATGAACATGGTCTCCCGCTATCAATAGTTAGTCACAGAGATACCAGGTTCACTAGTCAGAACTGGCAGGAGTTGATGAGACTCTATGGCTCTAGGTTGTTGATGTCATATGGCCGTCATCGTGAGACTAGCGGTCATACTGAACAGATGAACAAAATCCTGCAGCAAGTTCTCAGAATGTATATTAGACCCGATCAGCTTAAACCACCAGTACCCCGCCCAGCCAAAGTTTTTTCACTTCCTGAATTCATGAAAGACGTCAACAGGCATGGTAGAGGCTCAGGAGAGCCTCGACACTAGTACGGGTGGTAGCCTGTTTCAAAAACAAAAACGAGCGACCAAAGAGGACACAAGCACCACAAAAAAAAAAAGCAAAAAAGAAAGAAAGGAAAAGAACAGTTGTGCACGGGAAATCCGAAACAACCTGCCAACCTACCTCCCAGAACGGCGCGGATGGCGGCGTCAAGATCTGGAGGGACTGGGGCCCGGCCCTGCAACTTTTGTTTTTTTCTGTGAATGTGGCGTGTCCTGGACTAAGGGCGCTGGACTTTGGAATGCATCTTCCCCTAAAGCATCGAAAGATACAGAGAAGATTAGCATGCTCTTGCACGCAAATATAGAGAATTGCGAGAATCAGGGTCCTCGGTAGGCCCAAGGGGCCCTGTTTGCAGCATTGCCCGCCCTAAGTGAAGGCGGAGGTGCCCGCCCTAAGTGAAGTCGGGCCTAACATTTCACAAGAGGCCTACGACTGTAAATTTCATATTTGGGGGTACAGGCAGTTGCGACGCGCCAGTTGGTTGAGAGAAACACAGGTCGAGCAACAAAGAAATTTCCACGGCCCTCCGGGCCTTTCCAAAGAATGCAGGCGCTGGGCGTGATTCGCAGCCTCATACAGAGACAGTTGGGCGCCCAACTGAACGAGGCCCAGCATCCCAGTAGCTGTTGTACACAGGCAGCCTTTTGAGGAGTGCAGCCAGGCTGCTCAAGCAGACCAGCTCTTTCCGTAAAAGAAAGAGCTCTCGCCAGGCAGCCTCATTGGGTCACTTGCTGGCTGGCGGCAGCGCTGCTGGAGCAATTGCTCGCGGGCTGGCTGCCGGCATTGGAGCAAGAGGCTGCGCACGTGCGGTCATGTGTGGGAGCAGGGCGCTGCTGAGGGCAGCGCCATAGCCAGCCTCCATAGCGGGCTCGGCTTGGGTACACAGTGAGGCGCAGGGGTGGTCTTCGGGTGTAAGAGAGGACAGGTGTGGGTGTTAAGTCAAGGAAGGGCGAAGGATGATGATGATGATGATGTGAGGGCACTTACCTTGTATTGGCGATGGTCAGCATATGGGTGACATCTTCAAGTACTTCGGGTTGCCGTTGATGTCAACAGTTGCATTGTCTATTATTAGGATGATAGTAGTTGTGTAGGAGTAGGCTGGGCGCTGAGCGCCAAGTAGGAGTGAGAAGGGACTGGACTCTTGTGTTGCTGAAGGAGAGAGAAAGCTCTCCATGACATTGGTTTTCAGTACTACGAACCTCTATTGGTGTATTATTGGTGCAATGCTGCTCTCTGGACATAGTGTGACTATCTGGCTTTTAATGTGATGGTGTAATCTGGATTTTTCATCTCGCCGTTGCTTATTTTCCTTGCAATTTGGTATTGGAGCTGGTTCATATTGCGCTTCATTGGTTCTTCGCAATAGCTATTGGTGCTTCGCATGAGGGGTGGGGCAGTGATAAGGCATTGGCGTTGAACATTAGGCGGCCCAGGGTAGAGTTGGCGCGCCAGGGAGCTATGTGGTGACATACGGGGTGTATGCTGGATGATGAGAGCTCGCTGATGTAGAATATTAAGCCAAGGTGGAACCGCATTCTGCTGTTGGTTGTGTCGAGGCAAAGAACGGTCATCATAATTGCACATCAGGTTGCCGGTGAGAAATCTGTGGTTGGGGGCAGCATTTATGAGGTACGTTGCTCTCTTCCTTATCTACCCTCTTCGTTACTTCTTACCGTGAGGAAGTGAGTTATGTCTTGAGAGTCCTCTCAATGTGAGGTGTCGCGAGCGCTCAACCTTGAGAGTCGACATTCTTCCTGGGCAGCAAGCTGGTGGGAGACGGGCGAAGCCTCTGAAGGGCCCTGGATGAAGCACTCGGGTCACGGTCACCATGCCAACCCGCTGGGACTAGTACACGCATGCTTTGCCGCAAGTCCTTGGTTCTGCTGCTTGCGCAATAGAGGTCATGCAGGGCATGCCAGCCCTTTGACAGACGCTTACTAGACCGTCTTTAAACATTTCTGGCTGGGGACTCAGAATTGAATCTGGTTGTGATCGTCGTCCTGTCTGCGACGCTAAATAATTAATGAGGAGATGGGGGCTCTCCTTAAGTCCCTCCTGATCAGCCAGATCAACCGGGTGTAAGGCTCGTTGCATGCGAGGGTAAATAAAGTGCAGTGGCTGGCATGTTCGGCGTTGACTTGGAGCACAGGGGTGGGCCGTATTGCACACCTTCAGACACGCTGCTCAGCCAGATGCTCAGGACGTTGACACAAAGTGACCACTCAAGAAGGATATAGGGGGAGGGGGGGATTCCGGTAACTATTCGCAGTGGCAATCAACAAACAATCTGCCATCAAGCATACATCTCCAACAGGAGATGTTATTTTTATTTTTGATTATCCAGTTGTTACAGACTTGACTAACAACTGACAGACAGCTACAGACATATTAGATCTTTGTTGTATTGCAATATGTTCTAGGGTAATCTAAAAATAGATTTCATATATCCTGTAGGACCTAACATTAGTTGTTACGATATCACCTAACTGTTTTTGTTCCATCCGACCGAAATTAGTTGTGATTATCGGTTGTATGTCAGGCTAAGGTAGGATTCAGTGTGGATTCTAGTTTAGATCACACACACTGTAGCTCATGAGTGATGCAAGCACTAGTGAGGAGGAGTTGTTAGTGGACGACCGTAGGACTACTCGTGAGACTGCTCGTAGTCGACCCTTGACGTTCTTGGAGTTAGGTTCAAGAGACGAGAGAAGATTGCGGAGAGAGACTAGAGAGAAAGCAGCGGCAAGGAGAGTGAGGGCAGCTGAGGATAGTGCTAGGGCTAGAGTTTCAGCTAGCACCGATACAGTCATGGCTACTTCATCTATGTCGCAAACCTCTTCACAGTCCACTTCGTCAGGAGTCAGTCAGAGTGGTTCTCAAGGGTCCATTAGTCAGACTACTGGCTTGCGAGTCAGCCAGCACACTCAACTCACGCCGGAGGATTTAGAAATCCGGCAAGCAGAAGAACTCCAGGATGAGCTACAGCGGCAATTGGACGAGGCAGCAGAGACGAGAAGGAGAGCAATCCTGAGAAAAGCTAGACCAGGTAGTAGAAGAGAGGAGCTAGGCAGATTGGAAGGACTAGATGAGGCGGCATTAGACCCTGTTGTTCGTATACTGCGTAATGCTTTACTATCAGTAGCAGAAGTGCAGAATGTCCAGCAGGAATTGCTGGCCGAATTGGTAGCAGGCCAGAAACAAATTCTGGCTGAACTCCGGGCTCCTCGTACGATGATGAGGCAGCCACAGTTTGTTGTAGTTCCCCCTATGGGTGCGGGTCCTTCATCGATGCCGCAACACACAGGGCCAACCTTCTCTCCTATGTTTTGCATACCCCCTCCAGGTGGTTTAGTAGCAACTAGTGGTCCGGTCCATAGGGTCTCTGTCGTACCATAGACGACAATGGTCACTACAGTCCCACTGTCAAGCCAGGCCCAGGTTAGTGTGCAACAGCCTGTTTCAGTGGCTATGCAGCCGCTGCAACAAGCCCCTGGGCCCATGCAGCCTATGCAATGGATGCCTAAAATACCTCTGATGAGTCCCAAGCCCTTCTCTGGCGATAGGAAGAAGGATGAGGACTTAGACACCTATGTGAGGCACAAGTTCGGTCAAAACTTCGATGCCTGGGCACAATCTCAGACATTGGAAGAGTTCGTACGGTCCGTGTATAACAGGTGGCATGACCCACAAGGGGCTCAGAAGGCCACCGATGCAATCAACAATTTTTGGTCCCGCAGGTTCAAGAATGTTAGAGAGCTAACAGACACCATAGAACGTTTACTCGTGCTACCTGGTGTGCGTTTTGATCAGAGGTTACCTAAGGTGCCTACCTGCAGAGGTAAGGACCAAGCTAGTTGATGAGGCCTATGTCGAACAGCACACCTTCGCTTCTTTTAGTAAGAAAGCTCTGGACATAGAGGCAAAGTTGGGATCCGCTCATCAGGTATCTCACGATGGTAGGAAGAGACTCCCCCAGGACTGTAAGAAGAAGGGTTAGTTGATGTTCGTTGACCATGATGGTCAAACGACGAAAATTGACGGTTTCCCAGATCTTGGGGAGGTGACAGAGCAGGATGGGGCCAGTGAGACTTCGGATGGGGGAGTCGTGGCACCTATCAAAGAAAAGGCTAGGGGGACCGGGAAGAAGAAGGTAGTACGGTCCACGGGCCAGGGCGACCAAGGCACACCTGCCTGGGTGAAGCTTGGTTTAGAATACGAGGTGTGGAGAGATAGAGTTGCTAGGGGCACATGCATGAACTGTGGCAATTATGGCCACACGTCTAGAACGTGTCGAGGCAAGAAAGTCTTGACGAGGGTAGCCTCACCAACGGTGGTGGGACTTTCTTCGAACTCTGGCGGTGCTTCTGCGAGCACTTCGCAGGGAAACACCTCGGGCCAGTAGGAGTATTAGCCGCTCTTACTCGCGCTGAAGTGGTAACATTGCCTTCCCCACTTCAGGCGTTGGCCAAGGCTAGTGACCCACGTATCGCCCCGCAGACACATTCAGACCCACCGACACTTTGTTCGAGAGATGTGTCTGAGGCCCTAGAGGAGTTAGAGACTGAGTGGTCAGGGAAGGACCCCAGGGACTCTTGGGCGATGATAAGTAGAGGTCCAAAGGGTGAACATTTCGTGGTAGAGGTTGATGTAGGTGGCCGGACGGTTGGTGCCTCGCAGACATAGGCTCTACACGAAACTTCATCAGTCGTGCTCGTGTGGATAGACTGCGCTTAGGGGACCAAGTGCAGCGGCTTAGCAGAACTGTAGCTTCTACGCTGGCCAACAAGCACCAAATGGTAGTGAAAGACTATGTCAAGGACATAGCCTGCACCTTCTCCTATGGAGGAGGGGAAGTGATCCACAAGATCTCCTTCCTGGTTAGCGACGAACTGCCATTCGATATGCTACTGGGCATGTACTACCTCGAAGTCTCGCAACTGCAGTTTGACTGGGATAGAAAGGTGTTGATACACAAGTTGCCAAATGGTAGGACCGTTGGGCTGCAAAAGCACAAGGCTAGTAGTCTAGTGGAAAACTACGGCTGCATGTGCGCTTCTTCTTTCTATAACTATTACAAGCAGAATCGCGAGGAGGGCATGTATCTAGTGTTTGTCTCTGAGAAAGGGGAGACCGCTAAATCACCCCCAGAGATAGAAAAAGTCATCGCTCAATATTCAGACCTTTTTGAGGAGCCCACGGGTGTGGTCGAAAGGGAGGTTGTCCATGTAATAGAGGTTGTCCCAGGTAGTAAGGTGCCTAGAGGACGAATCTATAGGATGTCTCCTGCGGAGTTAGATGAGCTTCGCCGCCATCTCAAGGAGTTCACAGAGAAGGGATGGATCCGGCCTAGTACCTCCCCTTACGGTGCACCAGTCTTATTTATCCCAAAGAAGGGAGGTCCATTAAGGATGTGCATTGACTATAGGGGCCTCAATGCCATCACTGTAAAGAATGCCGAGCCCCTACCTCGCATCGACGACCTCTTGGATAGAGTGCAGGGATGTCGGTACTTCACCAAGATAGATCTGAAGTCCGGATACCATCAAATTGCCGTTAGACCTGAGGACCAGCACAAAACTGCATTTCAGACCAGGTACGGTCTGTACGAGTTTGTGGTGATGCCCTTTGGTCTATGCAATGCACCTGGTATATTCCAGCACGCGATGAACAGGATATTTCATGACTACTTAGACAAGTTTATCGTCGTGTACCTCGATGATATTCTTATCTTTAGTAGGACTGTAGAGGAGCACGCTGAGCACTTGAAAATAGTGCTAGGTCTCTTACGACAGCACCAGTACAAGGTAAACTTGGACAAATGCGAGTTTGGTGGCACCAAGATCTTGTACTTAGGTCATGAAATCTCAACAGATGGATTGAGGCCGGAAGGTGCCAAGGTGGCCAGCATACGTGACTGGCCCGGACCTCAAACAGTTACTAAGGTCAGATCGTTTTTGGGGATGGCGGGCTACTATCGTCCGTTTGTGAAGAACTATAGTATTATAGCTTCCCCATTAATGGATCTAACTCGACTTGACACCCCTTGGGAGTGGACTGAAGAGTGTGAGGCAAGCTTCAAGAAATTGAAGTATGCTCTAACACACTATGAAGTTCTCAAACTTTCTGATCCTGAATAACCGTTTGTAGTGACCACAGATGCCAGCCAATATGGCATAGGTGCGATCCTTGCGCAACAGGAGGGGCCAAAGTTGAGACCTATGGAGTATATGAGTAAAACGATGCCTTCCCAGAAGTTAGCTAAGTCCACGTATGAGAGAGAACTATTTGCCCTATACAGAGCGCTTATTCATTGGAGACACTACCTCCTAGGGAGATTCGTCTATGTGAGGTCGAACCATGAGACTTTTCGCTGGATTAAAGCACAACTTGTTCTGTCGGACGCACTCAAAAGATGGATTCAAGTGATAGACATGTATGACTATCAACTTGATCCTATCAAGGGTACGTACAACAAAGTGATTGATGCATTATCGCGAAGGGCAGACTATTTGGGCGCGCTAGTGACCGAGTTTGGCATATCTAGCGATTTGACTCGATCATTGGTGGAGGCCCATCAGCAAGATCCAGTTATGTCTGAGATCATCCGTAGATTCAAGGCAAAGGATAAAAAGACTTTGGATGAATTTACGATGGTAGACGACTTGTTGTTTGTTGAAAAGGCAGGGAATAAAAGGTTGTGTGTTCCCAGTAGTGAGTCGTTGCGTAGTTTATTTTTAGGAGAATCCCATGATGCAACTGGTCATTTTGGTTACAAAAAAACATCAGCGAACTTAGTACAAAGATTCTGGTGGCCCTCCATGATGCTAGATGCAAAACGCTATGTTGAAACTTGTCAGGTTTGCAAAAGAGACAAACCAAGGACTCAGGCTCCGCTTGGGCTGATCAAGCCCTTGCCAATTCCTGAAGGACCTGGTCAGAGTGTGTCCATGGACTTCATGGATACTTTTGTGACCAGTAAATCTGAAAAAAGGCACATCTTCGTAATAGTGGACCGCTTTACTAAGTATGCAAGACTAATCGCTATGCCAAAAACAGCTAAAACTGACCACGCCATCAAACTGTTTACGGATAATTGGGTACGTGATTTTGGTTTGCCTACATCTATTGTTAGTGATAGGGATGTGAGATTCACAAGTGAACTGTGGCAATCAATCGTTGAACAGATGGGCACCAAACTCCAAATCACCTCAGGGAATCACCCTGAGTCAAATGGCCAGGCAGAACAGATGAACCGGGTAGTACAGTACCTGCTTCGACATTATATTAAGCCAAGCCAGGATGACTGGGAAGAGAAATTACTGCTCGTCGCCATCCTGTACAACAATGTTGTACACAGTACTACCGATATGACTCCCAACCAGTTACATCTAGGTTGGAACCCCAGAACTGCACTAGACTTTCTGCTACCAGAAAGACAACCCACTGCAGCACCTGGCAGCATAGACTTTGCTGTCAAATATGAACAGATGCTGCAGCAGGCCGTTGAACATATTAGGAAGTCTCAGGATGCTATGATCGCATATGAGAATAAGCATAGACGGCCCTGTAACTTTCAGGTAGGTGATAGAGTCTGGGTAAAGTCATCTGAACTAGGTCAGGAGATGGGGATATCCAGAAAGTTGATGCCGCAGTATTTTGGGCCCTGGGAGATCTTGGATATTGTAGGGGATCAACCAGATGGGCCTTCATACGTGATCCGTATCCGTGTACACCTACGCACATACCCTGTGTTCCATGCCTCCAAGCTGGCACCTTTCGCTGCCACTGACTTGTTTCCTTCAAGAAGATCAATGCTGACCCCCAACCATGGACGGCGAGGTGGACATCGATCAGATTGTGGAGCATCGAATGATGCCTGTTCCTCGACCATCAGGCAGAGGGCGCCCTCCTAAACCGAGAATGCAGTATCGTGTGAGCTTCAGACATCACCTCGATCCCAAGGAAGATCGCTGGTTCACACGAGAGGAACTCATGAGAACAGCACCTCAAGTGATTGCAGGCTATGAAAGAGAACGAAAAAGGGAAGATGCCTGCAAAATAAGAGACTTCTCAGAGGACTAATGAAGTAAAGGAGGAGGGAATGCGAGGATCAGGGTCCTCGGTAGGCCCAAGGGGCCCTGTTTGCAGCATTGCCCGCCCTAAGTGAAGGCGGAGGTGCCCGCCCTAAGTGAAGGCAGGCCTAGCATTTCACAAGAGGCCTACGACTGTCAATTTCATATTTGGGGGTACAGGCAGTTGCGACGCGCCAGTTGGTTGAGAGAAACACAGGCCGAGCAACAAAGACATTTCCACGGCCCTCCGGGCCTTTCCAAAGAATGCAGGCCCTGGGCGTGATTCGCAGCCTCATATAGAGACAGTTGGGCGCCCAACCGAACGAGGCCAAGCAGCCCAGTAGCTGCTGTACACAGGCAGCCTCCTGGGGCCTTCCGGAAGCTTCTGGGCCCAGGCCAGTGCAGCCAGGCTGCTCGAGCAGACCAGCTCTTTCCATAAAAGAATGAGTTCTCGCCAGGCAGCCTCATTGGGTCACTTGCTGGCTGGCGGCAGCGCTGCTGGAGCAATTGCTCGCGGGCTGGCTGCCGGCATTGGAGCAAGAGGTTGCGCACGTGCGGTCGTGTGTGGGAGCAAGGCGCTGTTGAGGGCAGCGCCATAGCCAGCCTCCATAGCGGGGTCGGCTTGGATACACAGTGAGGCGAAGGGGTGGTCTTCGCGTGTAAGAGAGGACAGGTGTGGGTGTTAAGTCAAGGAAGGGCAAAGGATGATGATGATGATGATGATGTGAGGGCAGCGTTGCCGCGATCTTCTGCCATTCCGTGAGCCAGTCACGTGTTGCTGTGTTGCCTTGTGTCATGCCGAAGAGACGGTTGATGGCGAATGTAGGTGCGTCGTCCACGATGAACCGCTTCTACCATAGCCGTGTTAACTCTTCCCATGAGATCTTGTCTTTCAGATCTGCGACGTCGAAGCCGTGGGTGGATGCCAGGTGGCTTAACCAGGTCTGTCATCCGCCCTTTGAGTTGAGAAATAGGGCGCCGATGTACGCGTGCTTGGCGACGAACAAAATCCGAAGTTGCATCGTAAAGCCTTCCCACCAGAGGACCGGGTCTTGATGCGTGTAGTCATCGAACTTCTCAATTTGGAATGTCGGCATCTTGTAATGCGTTGTGCTGTTGCCATCCTTGTTAGGCAGCTGCAGTTGCTGAACCTCGGTCTTCAAGGTATCCAACTGTTTGTTGATGGTGGTTGGCGCAGCGAAGGTGCTGAAGTCGCCGAGCATTGCGACGACGTGGTCGACGCGTTGCTCCAGTTGGCGGGCAGAGGGTGCATTGCTGGACTCGCCAGCCTCCGGTCTTGGTGCAACTTGCTCCAAGTCCTGCATACGGGAATCAAGTGCCCGTGCTGGATCCTCATGCTGAGCCTTGTGGTTCCACATGGTCCGCTGCATATTCGCCAGCTCGGACTGCAGGTGGTTACAAGTGTAAACCAACCGAGCCACGAGTTTGGCCATGAATTCCCTGTGCTGCTCTTCTGGTGTCGCGTCGTCGTGCCCTTCAGATGGTTCAAAGTGCCAATACTTGAGTCTTTCGATGCTGGCGGCTTCATGCCGCTGCAGCAGATCCAGGGCTTCCTTTCGGCGTGCCTAGGTATCTGCATCTGCTTCGGCCTGAAGCCGCTGCTTCTCAGCTGTTGCCGCTGCTTCAGCCTGTAGGCGGGCAGCCTCGGCTTCCAGCTGGCGCTGTTCCTCAGCGTCGATCAGTGCGAGCTGAGTCTGGAACCGCTGTTTGTGGTCGGCAATAGACTCGTTGGCTAGTTGGCCTGGCATGCCCAGAGCTGCGCCCGTCATGGTGGCGGGGCACTGCTGACGTGGCACTGTTACTGCTGACGTGGCACTGCTGACGTGGCACTGTTGCTGACGTGACACTACTGACGTGGCACTGTTGCTGACGTGGCACCGCTAACGTGGCACTGTTGCTGACATGGCACTGCTGACGTGGCACTGCTGACGTGGCACTGCTGACGTGGCACTGTTGCTGACGTGGCACTGCTGTTGTGGCACTGTTGCTGACGTGGCACTGTACCAACCCGGAAATGCATGCAAAGGGGTGGGTGGGAGGGAAAACGTAGGTAGGTAACCAACCCAACAATACTTTCCTCCCGACCCTTATCAACAGATAAAAAAAATAAAAAAATAAAAGAGGACTACTTCCTTTTTTTTTTTTATATATCTGTTGATCTGTTATGAGTGAGACATGTCAGAAGAGTACTATGAACGAGATCTAGGCTAGGTTCCGCAAAGTTTCGGCTTTCACAAAATGCGATTTTGAAAAAAAAAATTTTTTTGCGAAATAGAGTAGAGATGCGATTTTCAGAAGAGAACTAAATCCAGTTTCTGAGAATATGGCAATCTTCTAGTATGCCTAACGAAATGTTGGTGGGCTTCGCAAGATTTCGGTTTTCGAAAAAACATTTGCGAGATAGAATGGAAATTCGATTTTCAGAAAAGAATAAATCCGGTTTCTGATAATATAACCACTTCTATCGTTATCCTAATATGCCTAGAAAACGAAATATTAACATCAGAAACTTTCAGCTATGTATGCGAAATATCAGAGAAACGAAATGCTACTATCAGGAATTTCCAGATAAAACGAAATGCGATTATCAAAAATTTTCAGATATTTGTTGCGTGAAAACAAAATACTAATATTAGAATTTTTTAGGTAAAACGAAATGCGATTATCAGAAATTTTCAGATAGTTGTTGCGAGAAAAGAAAAATTTCAGAGATTTGATGAAGTCCTACTTGATTTACTAATGAGTAATCAATAGATCAAGCAAGCTGGCTACTTGATTGAGCGGGTCCTCTGAATGAGAGGTCCGCTCCGATACCAAACTGTTGCATATTGTAACGGTGCAGACCAGAACAAGAACCAACCTCTCAATACAGAGTACAAGATAGCGTAGCGGAAGACTTAGATACCAATGATCCGAACAATCAATATTGCAATGCAGCCCCGAACATACATCATCATCATCATCATTCCATGGTGTGAAGGGGTCTGGCGCTCACACAGGAAGATTGTGCCAGCCCCAACCATACGCAAACGAAGAAGAGGGGGGTTAGACGAAGAAGAGGGGAAGATGGGAATGTCGTCAACACCAAGTCTTCGGCACAGGCCCAAATAGTCCCTCGTCAAAATGTCTGAATCCCAATGTCGAGTTTGGATCCAATGTCGTCAAGTCTCAAGTCACAACTCTCTCTCTCTCGGTAGTAGTCTACTGATACTGAGAAGTCAGGTGGTGCGAGGGTGAAGAAGAGATGGTGGACTTAGAAGAGGAAGAAGAAGAACTCTCTCTCTCTCTCTCTGTCCAGTACTAACCTGTGAAGATGGCGCCTTGATGCAGGTACCCCGAAGATGGAGCTGGAGCTATGGCGCCACAGGTAAGTACCGCTGGCCTCCGCCAGCCATCTTTCTCCAACGCTACCACTACCAGCTACTAGCGCCCTGCGCTGAAGACTACTCCTGCAGCTATGAGCGCCCAGCGCTGAAGACTACTGCTAGCGCTAACTACTACTGCAATGCTCCTCCTGAGTGCTGCGGCCGAATCCTGAAGACTACTCCTGCCTTTTGTCCAACTACCTACCCGTGAAGTGCATGGGAACTTCCTATGTACTACTCGGGTGCCTCCTGACTGCAGGGCGAGGCAGTCCGGGAGGCTGCTCTTGCCAATGCCGAAGGGAGTCAGGGGCTGCCGCTGCAGCTCCTGCTTGAGGCTGTCGTGGGGAATAGGGCAGAAATAGCCTATTCCCGAAACCCTGTTTTTGTGCCTGAGTCTTAGGGTAGGTCGATCTTATGAGGGCCCGAAAGTGGCCCTCCGTTTCAGGCTGAAAAGCCTCAGGGCTGAAAAGCCTTGTTTTAGGCTGAAACGACATAGGGCCTGCAGGCCCTCGTTTTTCAGTCTTTCAGGCTGAAATGACAGGGGCCTGTAAGCCCTTATTTCTAGGCTTTTAGGCTGGAAATGCGGGACGGGCCCTGCAGGCCCGTGTGGCTACGCAGTATGCCACATCAGCGCATCTACCCCTAGGGGTACCTGCGTCTGGTCGGGCTACATCGAGGCTCTACACTGTGTATTCGTGGGTGGTGGCAGCCATAGCTGCCTGTTCCTTCGTCAGAGTTGTCCATCTACACTGAAGACTTCATCCCAAAACCTGTTCTTCATCAGGGTGGTTGGCGCTGGCCTCTGGGAGGCTATTCTGGTGTGGCGCTACTAACTGGGTGTAGGATAGAGAGTGGGGTGTGAGTTCTGAGAGTGGCGAGATACTGGAACAAACTCTGTTACGATAATTGGTTGAGTTGGCTCATCATCAGTGCGATTTCAATTGTTATCCTTGCAGGTTCTTCTTGTGATTGGTTGTTGGGAGTTTGTCAGAGAGTGAGAAACACTGTGTGTCTTCTCCCCATCTTTGCATAGCTGTATTCCGCTGCCTACGCTGTTCTGTGTGCAGTGTGGACTCTGTCTCCTCCTCCCCTTCTCTTATGCATGTATGGGCGTGTATGAGATTGTATGTGTGTGAGTGGCGGTAAAAATCGTCAGACAACCAAGTTCATAACACACGGAGTCCCTATCACCTGAACAAAAGAGACTCCATGCAGAAAGACGAGACACACAGACTCGGCAAGTACCATGGGGTGAGTGCACATCCATAGGGCAATGGGATAGGCTGAAGGCTTGGCAAGAGTATACAAACTCCAGCTTGGTCAATTTCGTGGTCAACAACTCCAGTCAACGCCCTGGTCAACACCTCGATCAGCGCTGGTCAACGCCCCGGTCAACTCCTCGGTCAACGCAGGTCAACGTCCCGGTCAACTCCTTGGTAAACGCTGGTAAACGCTGGTCAACGCCCTGGTCAACGCTGGTAAACACCCTGGTCAACGCTGGTAAACGCCATGGTCAATGCTGGTAAACACCCTGGTCAACACTGGTAAACACCCGGTCAACGTTGGTGAATGCCTTGGTCAACGCTGGATATGGCTGCCAACCCTTTCTCTCTCACTTTCTTTCACCTTCCTCCTTCTTCCTCCTTTCTTTCTCACTTTCTTCCTCCGTCAACCCGGCTATGTCTTTCTTGTTCCTCCTTCGTCTCTCCCTTCTTCTTCCTCGGCTATAGCTTCTCTCTCCTTTGTCTCTTCTCTCTCCTCTTCATTCACTCCGTGTCCGAGCTCGGCGGCTATGTCCGCCACCTTCTTCCTTGGACCACACAACAATCTTGTATCACTCTTCTCTCTCTTTCTCTCTCTCTCTCTCTCTCTCTCTCTCTCTCTCTCTCTCTCTCTCTCTCTCTCT